GGCCGCCGCGGGGGGCCGCGGGGCGCGGGCGTCTACCTGCGAGCAGAAGTACGAGCCCTGGATGCCCAGCTTGATGCAGGTGGGACACTGGAGCTTGGCCTCCCGGCTGCAGCCGTCCGTCTCGCACACCCGCGTCTCCACGGCCGCCATGCTGCCTGCCTGCCGGAGGAGCGCCTCACCGAGGAAGAGGAGGAGGGAGGGACGGACGGGAGGGAGGGAGGGACGGAGGAACGGGCGGGCGGAGGGGTGGAGAGGGGAGGGGAGAGAAACCGAGCCGGGGGGAGGAGCCCCGGCCGCCGCGGGCTCTGGCGCGGAAGGGGCGAGGAGCGCGAGACCCGCCGGCCGCGCAGCGCGCCACGCCCACGACACGCCCCTCGCGCCCCGCGGTGGCCACGCCCCTTCCGCACGGCCACGCCCCCTCCCCCCGGGAGCCCCGCCCTGCAGTGTCTGCGCACGTGGGGGCCGCGCGCGCGAGGGGCCCCGGGCCCGAGCTCCACCCCGCTGGGCAATTGCGCGACCTCGGGGATCGAGGCGATGTAGGCCCGGGATCCTGCACGACCCGCTTGCACACAGGGCGGCCGGAATGGACGTGGGGCTCCTCCGCGTGCCTACAGGCCTCCGCCCCTAGGAAAGTCATTCCCTCCTCCAAGTTCTATTTCTCAGGAGTACTGGCGCTGGCTTGCGCTGGGCCTTAATGGCCACCGCCCATTCACAAAAAAGGAGAGCCAGAGCTTCAATGGCCCGGTAAACTGGGAGTCCACGCGTCCTCTCCGGAGCCCGGTTTCTGTTTGTTTGCTTGTTTGTTTCACGCCCCGCCATTCAAATCTTACCCGGCGAGGAATCATAGCTGCCAATTAAATGCGAAATCCCCGCACAAATAGTCCTTGTGCGTTCCCATTTGACGAAGGGGCAACCGGGAGGGATGGGTGCTCACGACGAAATGACAAGTTGGAAAACTGCAGGGCTTGTCAGATGCAAACCTGTTGCCTGAATCAACCACGTGCCGAGCTGCCATGTTTCCAACCTTCCTTAATACCTTCTGTCAATGGAGAAGGGAGAAACAGCTATTTGTTGATCATCTAAGTACTGTGAATTTTGTTATCTGGTTATATGTTGTTTAAAACCTTTCCATCGCTACTTGTCCAGATTGTACTGTAGGAGCCTTACATACAAGTAATAAAATCAAATAAGACAATGCATACATATATGGAAAAAACAAAATAACAGTCACTGTACATGTGTGTATGTGTAGGTGATATTTATATATTTAATACGTATATATATATTATACGAGTATATATGTGTATATACATGTTCAATATTTAAATATTTTAAAGCAGTACAGTATCATGCACAGTAGTTACTTTCTTTATGTTGTAAATGTCCTTCATTGTTGTTAAATAGACTTATTACATAATTTTAGCAACTCCCTAATATTCTATTATGTGAATAATTTACCAAGTCAAATCTACTAGTAATAGGTATTCGGGTAGTTTTTAAAGATTTATTAGCATATATTAGCTATATAAAGGAAGTAGTTCCTTTTGACATTTCCATACATTCATACTATAAGGTGAATTAAGGTAGGTAGGTAGCCAATAAAGAGAACACCATGCAGGATTCAGTCAGGAAGAGAAGTTTATTACCCAACTGCTGTCCTGCTGTGCTAACCTTTGTTCAAACTCATCCTTCCATCTCTCCCCCTCGTACATCTTCCCCTTCTTAAAATGATTCCAACAGATTTCATATTTTCATAATGCATATAAAGTACTTACATTCACCTTTATCCACTCTCTACATCCTCCGTTCTCCTGCTGGGGGTGGGGCAGGTAATAACTTAAGTCATAAAGTGCTTATCTATCAGCACCATGGCTCTGATTTCAAGACCTAGTAAAGGGGGTTGCTGGTGGCTCACACCTGTAATCCTAACTGGTCAGGAAGCTGAGATCTGACATCTGAAGATCTGAGATCTGAAACCATCCTGGGCAGGAATATCCCTGAAACACCTATTTCCAATAAACTACTGAAAAAGCCACAAGTGGAGTTGTGGCTCAAGTGGTGGAGTATTAACATTCAGCAAAAAGAATTTCAGGGACAATGCTCTGTTCCTGAGTACAAGCCCCAGGACCAGCAAGGGAAAAAAAAGTCTTTTCAAGGGGCTTGGAGTATAAATCAGTGGTAGAGTACTTGGCTAACATGTGAAGCACTGGGTGCAAGTTCTAGCATGAAAGCAAACAAATGTCCCTGTTTCTTCTTTTCCTTTTCTTTTCTTCTCTCTTCTTTCTTTTTTTCTTCTGCTTTTTGCCAGCTCGGGGGCTTCATCTCTGGGTCCCAGTGCTGTCCCTGAGCTCCTTTTGCTCAAGGCTAGTGCTCTATCACTTGAACCACAGCGCTACTTCCACCTTTTTCTGGTAGTTAATTGGAGATAAGTCTCACATACTTTCCTGCCAAGGCTAGCTTCAAACCATGATCCTCATATCTCAGTCTCCCCTATTTATTTTTAGTTTTTATTACAAGAGGCAGATTTCACTTCAGTTAAAAAGATGGGGAAATTTATATTATAAATATACATAAATAAATAGTGTAAAAAAGAAAGTATTCAGAGCTGGGTGCTGGCGGTGCACACCTGTCATCTTAGCTACTCAGGAGACTGAGATCTGAGGATTGTAGTTCAAAGCTAACCTAGGCAGGAAAGTCCATGAGACACTTATCTCCAACACACTTCCAAAATGTTAAAAGTGGAGTTTGGCTCAAGTGGTAGACTGCTTCATTGAGTAAAAAAACCCAGGGATAGTTTCTAGACCCTGAGTTCAAGCCCCAGACAGTCAGGAAGCCTCCCTCCCTCCCTCAAAAAAGAGTTCTGGACTCAAAAGAGGAAAAGTTCTTAAACTTAAGTTCTTAAACTCTTAAACTTCTGTCTACTTTTCTAAGAAAACACATGTTTTATAGTACAAGTCAGTCTGAAAATTAATTGACTGAAATTTTGTGTTAAGGCAACTAACTCTGTCATCTAAAATTCAGTGGCTCAGATAAATATCCATCAAGTACTACAAGTTTAATTGGGAAGATGTGTTTCCCATCTGGTTTCCTTCCATACCATCAAGCAAATTAAAATGGTAAGTGCCATCATCTGCTATCTCTGGGAAAGAGACACCAAAGTAGCTTGAATTGATTTCTGCTGACATATTCCACAATGTACGGATATCAAGACCATTCCAAGATTGATTTCACAGACAAGGAGAGCTAAAGTAATTTTTCAAGTGGGCTTGGAGTGGCAGCATAAAATAGGCACCATTCTAGTTTTCTGTCTTAATCACTAGTGATAAATTTAAAAGACGTGGAAACCTTGAGTAACTGGCGTTTTGATAAATATTATAAATTGTGGAATACTTGACAGATGCATTAACACCAAAAGATCTTTGCAAAATTGACCATGCTCCTTTAAGCTCTGGAAGTAATGGATCATCAATAAACTAGAAGGATCTGAAAGAGAGACCTTGAATTATCTAAGAGACTAACATTTACATGTATTCTTAGGTTGTTAACAATTCTTCTAGCAAAGAGAGGCCCAGGAAAGATGCAAAAGAGGAGTACTATGCTTTCATACTTTCCCAATTAGGGCTGAAATTACACTAATGGATTGCTATGTTCACCAAATAGCCAGCAGAAAAGGTAACGACGCTATATCAAATCAGCCTGGACATCAAAGACAAGCATCTATTTGGTTTCTAAGTTTCTCTACTTTCTGCAAACCTGTCTACAGTAGCCCTTTTCCTGCTGCACAGGACACTGTATACCCGTGCCCATGCAGTGAGTTTGCAGATTTCTGTTGCTTTCTTTCTTAGCCAAATGATCCTTTCCTAGCAGTAATTTTGGTTACTCTATTTGTATAGCTTTATGTCTTTCAAGGGAGTACACAGTACAAAGCACATAAATTAGGGATTTTATGGCATCCATTCCTAGACATTGATTTATGATAGGACCCCATTTCAGCTCTAGCTGGGGCATGTTTGAAAGCAGTATAAGAAGAAAGACCCACAGGGATGGTAGGACAAGTCTCAAAGGAGAGGTCAAGCATAATATCAGGATCACAATGCCTTTGTGAGAATGGCACTTCATCTGTCTATGAGTTCAGCTGCTCTCTGAAGAATGGCCTTCGTGACCGTGGGTGATGCTATTTAATCAAATGGCTCTTGGTGATTCAAAACAAGCAATGTGCAACCTGGATTGCATAAGCCATTTATTTTGCTTCATTCTGTTCTCATCATCCTCAAAATGAATAATGCAGCTAAATAGTACAATCCAGTCTCTTTCCTTATCTTGCAGTAAAATTATATCTCTTCTCAAAAATATTTGCTATATCCAGGCAGTTAAGAGTCTTTATAACATAAATATTGGTAATAAATCTCTAGGGCTTCTTAAGTAATTTGCTGTTCATTACTGTTCATTCCATATATTCTAGTATTTTCTATAAAGATGAACAGGAGGGGCTGGGAAAGTGGCTCAGCGGTAGAATGCTTGCTTCGCATGCATGAGGCCCTGGGTTTGATTCCTCAGCACCACATAAACAGAAAAGGCCAGAAGTGGCACTGTGGTTAAAGTGGTAGAGTGCTAGCCTTGAGCTGAAGAGCTCAGGGACAGGGCCTAAGCCTAGAGTTCAAGCCCCATGACCCCCAAAAAGATGAACAGGATATATTCTTCCCAACCCTAACATCATGTTGCCCTATTTTAAACACTGGTATTTATGAATAGCTCATTCTATAATTCTTAAGAAGAAATTAATAGGACATACAGATAAAATGCTTTTGGAGAACTCTCTAAAATCTGATAGTAATATAACTGCTCTTCTAAAGCTTGCTTCCTATTTGAAAATAAACAAAAATAAAAGTCCACAAATAAAATCATGCTAGGCTCCTGACATTCTGCTATATTAAACAAGATTGAATTTTACTTAACATAATAAAACCACTCCCTTCTGTTTCATTTTGGAAGAAATCATTTTATTGGTGGGACTATTGAAAAGAATCTCCCTACTTATGCAGTAGCACACCTCTGTAATCCCAGCAATCTGGAGGCAGATGAGAAGAATCAAGAAGTTTGAAGCCAGCTTGCACTACATAGTGTGTTCCAACCCAGGCTAGGTCACACAGAAAGACTGTCTCAAAGAACAAAAAAACAAAACAAAAGCAAGCAAGAACCAGGCACCAGTTGCTCATGCCTGTATTCCTAGCTACTCAGGGGGCTGGGATCTGAGGATCAAGGTTTGAAGCCAGCTTGGGTAGGAAAGTCCATGA